CCGGCTATGTTATTTGTCTGTCGTTTTGTTAACGTGTACTCGTACATGCACTTGTATCAATGTATTGTTCATTTTGAAATATTTACGTAAAATGTATCCCTTAGACCGGAATATTATTTTAAATTTTATTTATAGAATGAAGATACAGAAGGATTTGAGATTAAGGAAATTGGAAGGTAGAATTTGCTAGAAGTATTAATAGAAATATTAATAGAAGGATTAAAGTTTTCTGATTGATTAAATTCTAATCTTCTAATCTCCTATGGATAGTCTGATGCGAGATTTAAACGTTATGAAAATAAGATCTACTTTTAATGTAAATAAGTTTGTTATTACAACATACGTGAATTTCGTTCTGCCTATGGATTTCTAGTTTAAAATGTATGTTTTTTTTCTCAATGTTAAAAAAATGCTAATAAAATTCTCATGTTAAGTTTAAGAATTATATAAACAAATAATGAAACCTGTCTCGTCGTTATGATTAATGATATTATATGTTAAAAGCAATATTATATTAAGTTACATTCCGACACGAATGAGTACCACGTTACTCGTTGAGTACATCAGGCTCGTGAATGTGCACAAAAGTGCATAGACATTGTTTGGAGATCGTGGGAAACCGGGAAGCGATTAGGGGGAGGAAGGGAGAGAAAGAGAGGAAGAGAAACGTTGGGCACGTATTCGCTTGGCACCCACCTTGGTGTAATATGCGTTCGACGTAGAAGAACAAATCGCGGAAGCGGCTTCTGGAAGGTCACGAGAACGCGCAAGGCGCATCCACCGTAAAAAACGACAGAATGGACGTCGAAGCATCTCGGCCTTGATGCGCCAACGCCGTATGTGGGTTACGAATAATAAGAATTACACAAACAGATTTCGCGAATTTGATGGTTATATCGGATTCGATCGATTAAAAGAAAGACCGAAGAAATTTATAGGTAAAGATTATAGGCTTAACGAATCGATGTCTAAACGTCTAAGACATAACATATAAAATTTGGGAAATGAGAAAAATTTTTATTCTCTTAAAAAAGATTTATCCCGATTTATGACAATTTGAGAATTGTGCGCGTTTGAATTGTAAGGACCTACAAACGATTTTCTCGATGATGATTGCAGAAACGGAAGTTCGCAAAACGGAACACAATTGTTTGCTCGTGCACTTTTTGTGTACGAGCACGACGAATACATCGATTGTGTGCATCGAAATGCTTTCTAGGGAGAATGCAAGAAAATGTAGGAAATCGTCGCGCTGTTTAATCGTAATCACTTGACAGACTCTGATAGCTTCCAGTCTTTCTTGTGATAATACCGTTGGATCGATTCGAAACAATGTCGTTGGAGCGTTTTATTCTCATGCTACGATAAATAATTTGTTCAAGTTTTAAGCTAACAGATCGATAAAATTGTATTTACAAAGAAAGGATCTGTGTATGTGTATGAGTGTGCTCATTAAGCATCCCTGGAAAAAAAAAACAGAATTAATTAAGGACATGACTATAACAAGAAGTAAAGAAGAAAGCAGGAAAATTTATTTCTACTTTTCTTAATAGGGAAAAGATATCAAAAATTTAACAATCAAAAAGGAAAGTTTCTAATAAACTAAATTAAATTTAAAATTTAAAATATTGTTGATATATTAATATATTACAATTGTAAATATTAAGTTTATTATTAAATTAATTGCATATAATTTTTATTATACAAAAGTTAAATGTAATTAAATTTTAAATTATATTAAATTTTCGTTCTTCTTCTATTTCTAGAATTTCACATTTTATATTTAGATTAGACACGTGTATTTTAATACATATTTAATTAAAAACAAACGTATTATACGCATAAAAAACGTAATTTAGTATAAGAGTTTAGCGTAAGAGAAAAAGCTCCTTTATAGAAATCTTCCATTAAAGTTGAAAATAATAATTCTAGTCTACCTACTGTCTAACTCGCCTAAAAGTGGGTCACTAAAAGGGAGAGCAGAATTCATCTTCGACCTTCTTGTAGAGATTGGCCTCATCCTCGCCCACTTCGACGAGTGTGAGACTCGGCGACGAGTGCAACCGAGATCGGGAGTGCGAGGTCGGCATCGCTAATAGCCGCTGCTACTTGGGTTATTGCCGGTGTCAGCCCTTCTTCGCCGGTTACAATGGAACCCATTGTCTCGAATGTAAGTCCGCAGAAGTATACCCTTTTATCTCCTCCAACCACAGTTCTCTCCCTCTCGACTCTTGACAGAAATCAATGTCCTCGAACATTTGCTTTACGGCGCAAAAGTCTCGAAGACTTGCGCCGTAGGGTAGATTTAACTTAAGGATATCAAATTACATAAGTGATCTTGTGGAAAAATTCCATTTTTAAGCAATATTCTGCTGTTATTTATTTTAAAAAAATGCAAACGCCACTTTTCTCGTCGTAAGGTGCTATTTTCTAACGTTACAGCCACTCTACTGGGTAATGATTGCCTCGTAAAGGAACAATGCTCCTTGAAAGTAGCAAACAGTAGTTGTCTCGAGAACGTATGCAGATGCGAAGAGGGACATTTACAGTTCCGCAGGCATACTTGTCTAGGACGTGAGTACAGTTCCGATTAATATATCTTAAAGAAGAAAGTGCATACATGCGATTTGAATCGTAAAATTATAAGCATAAATTAAAAAATTTAATCAAGAACAAAAATTTTAACCGAATAATTGAAGTATTTGGATCTATCTCTGCATACGGAATTCAAGTAAATTAAATTCCGTAATAATGCGTTTGACTTGGCGAAACAATAACGTGCGATGACATCACATTTAATCGGTGTATTAATACACCATGGTGGATCGATAGATGCTATAATAAGCCATTCGCTCGTGTTCCTTAATGTTACCGTTGGAACCTGTCTTCGCGTGACATTAAGGCGATCATTAGCGACGTGGAAACAACGCACCGTCGGTGAAGGGATCGACGATGAATAGCTAGGCGAAGTGTAGTATCCCGCGGAGAAAATTCTACTTTATGTGATCTTCTCCCTCTCGGCTCATCGAACGCGGTACTCGCCGCGCACTACGGAATGCGCATCTCGGAAATGTATTCCGAGGGATTGTATATACTGTCTTTCGTTCTCTCTTGATTTATCGAGAGTCGGTTTCGTTCGCTGACAACCGCTCATTGCGCCATTTCCGATACTCCGGGACTTCTTGCGCTAACAATCTCGTCGTGAAAGTACATCGAAGATATTTTCTGAAACGGATAATCCTGCAAAATAGAAACGGTCGAATGCACGTTTATTTATTTATTTGTAAAAATCTTGTATTTGATTATCTATGTTGTATAATCATGCGATAGTAATATTTTTATTTCAAAAATAATCAAACGTAAATCACAATTACAAAAATATATAATATTGATAAACTTTGATTTAAAACGGGAGATTGCGAAATTGTAATTATTACGGAAAAAAATTTGAAGATCGAAAAATTTTTTTAAATTATAAGAATTATAAAAATCAGGAAGTTGTAATAATAATGAGAATAAATATAAATCGTTTATCTTTTTATATTTTATATTAAAAAAAAACACGCAACTTTTTCGTCGTAACGATTATTTGACGATTTTGTTCCGAATCTATTAGATGAAAGTTTTATCGTTGCAAATGTGACTTTTTTGATTCGCAAGTTTTCGTAAATCGAAAAACGGACCTAATTTGCAGCGGCGAAACTCGGCGACGTGTGTTACGAGCACGCTCACTGTCGTCTCTGGGATCCCGAGTCACATTGCGATTTTCTCATCCCGGATTTATTCGGTCGCTGCCAATGTACCGCTCCGATGCGCCGCGAGGGCAACGTGTGTCGACCTGACAGACTTGTGAGACCTGCGCCGCTTCCGGAGCACCTGCCTCCCACTCAGGAGCCGATAATAAACGATGTCACTGAAAAAAATGAACACGATAAGGGAACTGTCACCGAAGGACAAAAGGGCGATATCGAAGGGGAACAAGACACAGGTATCGCACAATTGTACCATTCAGATTTTTTTATGTTACAAAAATTGTTATATCCAATCAGATTTATTAATGAAAGTTTAATATGATAATTAATATAAAAATATGCATAAGAATTATCGTAACGTGTTTTTTATTATGTAAATAATTATTTTATCCATTTATAATGCGAATAAAAGTTGACGAGCCAAAATTAATTATGATCATAATTCATTTAGACAGAGAGGGAATGTGCGTGAGAAAATTATTTCTTAGCGGAATAGATTTTTCTCAAAAATCATTGTATTCTAGAGAGACATAGAAATTAGTTTTATTAATGATATAATTTGTTACATCAATATGTAACGCCTGTATAATGTTTTTTTACTTTCTCAGAAAAGATTTGCTTTCAGTAGTGGAAAAAAACCTTCCATTTTCTTGTTTAAAAATAAAGCTCTAAGATTATCATGTAATCGGGAATTGCATTCTAAACTTTGTACTCCATCGAGTACGCAAACTTGTACGGGTAACGAGCTAACATGTGATACCTGACTTCCCCGTAATCGACTTAACTTTCTCGTGAAGTAATCCTTGGACGCGTACCTTGTACGGGAATTGTATCAGGCTGCATCATCGCCTCCCTGGGTTTCACGCGCCTTTTATCCGATAATCAGCTTTTCCGTGTGCACATGGACGCAACGGGAATTCGCGAGATCAAACGGTTTCGTATTCCGGCCCGAATGCGCCCGAGCGGACTAACAAGATGAGGCGACGCGCATTCTTAATTAGTGCGATCATTAGCGAAACACGAGTGGCATTTCCTTGACAAAAAAAAAAAACAAAAAGAAATTTGCACGTGCGCTGCGATCACGAATCATACGTAAAACTTTATTATTTTTCATTATCATTTCCATTTCGTGAACTTTTCCAATGTCCCAATTAGATAATGAACGCGTTAATTAAATAATCCACATTACCCGTTATTACGTATTATTACGTCTGAAGCAATTCTTTCCAATCTCTTTGAATAGGCGTTCAGATATCCTGGTTAAAAAATGCTACGATGCTCCTATCGACGGAAGCTCCCAGTCAACTGATACCGGTGAACCTGGTGACGAGACCGTCATTGAGCTCGAGACCTGGATCGAACAATCGTCCCGGGCCGAACGAGCTCCCCGACGATGACGACGCCGTCGTTATCGAGGCAGAAGTTACCGAGCCCGCTCACGTTACCTCGACGACCTCGACGACTTCCAGTAAGCTCTAATATTCCGAAAAGATGTTCTTTGATGATGTCACGTAAAATTAGAAGGCCACGCCGAGCTGTATTTTAAAACGGTTAAAATTACCAGACATTAAAGTCGACACGACTTTTTCTCAAGTTCCAACTGGCACTCCGCGAGCTCTCGATCTGATTTTTTTTTCTCCGGCTTTCAGCACCGATAAAGACGGACCGCCACGAGAGCACGATAATGACGGCTGTCAGCCTGGGACTGCCGTGCATCGCCGATCTGGAGTGCCGTATGGCCGATCCGATGTCGCGTTGCATCGGCGGCGTGTGCGACTGCAGTTTTCCGACGAACGGCAGTTGCAGCGCGCGGCGAACCGGCTGCGCCCCGGGCACATTTCAGTGCCGTTCGTCCGGAAGCTGCATCAGCTGGTTCTTCGTCTGCGACGGCCGCGCCGATTGCGCCGACGGCTCCGACGAGGAGTGCACCGGGCCTCGCTGCCCGATACAGGCGTTCAGATGCAACGACAGTAACGTCTGCATATCGAGGTCCGAATTGTGCGACGGCAATCGCGACTGCCCCCGTGGCGAGGACGAGATTGGCTGTAACAATCGGCGAAGTCGGTATTCTTTTGCGCATTGCGCAAATTTTTGCAAAAGACTGATTTTTTTTTATTAAGAGAAAGATTCAAACGTTTTTGTGATATTACATTTATTTACACGCTACGAATTAAAAATCTCTTCAAGAGAAGTTAATGGTTTTTCTTTTATCGTAATTGTTATCGTATATTTTGACCTTCTGAGAGATGAGAATGTTTCATCTTACACAATTTACACGTAAGATTTCTCGACACTTTCTGTACACAGAATGTCCCGAGGGTGCGTTCAGATGTAACAACGGTCAGTGCCTGCCGGCGTATGAATTTTGCAACGCGGTGGTGTCCTGCAGGGACGGCAGCGACGAGCCGAGGGGAGCGTGCAGGACGCGTAATCGTGGCCGAATTAGCACGAGATATTGTCCATTCAGATGCGACAACGGAAGATGTCGTTCCGACGCGATAACCTGCAGCGGCCGGGATGGCTGCGGCGACGGTTCCGACGAGAAACACTGCAACGTCTGCAGTAAGTATCTTTTACAGCGACAGACATTCAAATTTAAAACATCATAAAAAAATGTCAAAAAAATTTCATACTTTCGAAAAATTATTTTGATATTCAGTAAGTAAATCAAAATCTTAGTGAAATGTTTTTTTTTTTTTTTAATTCTCGTGCGACCTTTTTTGTTCGAATTTAAAATGTGACGAAAAATCTCATTTTTTTTTATATTCAACAAATAAAAATCAAAATTGAATAATTGGAGAACAGAGAAGGCAACTTTCGGCGAATTTGATCTTAATTATTTGTAAGCTTAGCTTGATATATTACATTGTATTGCCAAGTCTTTAAATCAAAATTATACTGAAATGTTTTTTTTTTCAATCTCGTGCGATCTTTCTTGACATTTTTCTATTCTTTGTGATTACGTCGGATTCCTTTGATCTATCAAACGAGACCATTTGCTGTTCGGTGAGAAGAATTCCATTGTGTTAATATTAATAGTTCGCTTATGTGAAAAACGTCTTTGAAACAAACGTGAGAGGTAACCTTTTTTCCGCGCTGTTCCCAAATAAAGCTTGTCGTTTACGTGCCCTTCTTTCCCCGGGACTTTTATTCTCCGCGATCGCGATCTTATTTATGTTAGATACTCCTCAATACATAATTGCTAGAGGAGTAACCGTTCGATGCATCGAGAGGCCGTCGTTAGATCCGTGCGCTCCTTCGCTTCCTAGAATCTAACGCAGAGGCGGAGTCACGCTCGCGTGTAATTAGAGCGGGATGCATCGATTACGTTGCTATCTTCCGCGGGATGCATCGATTACGTTGCTATCTTCCGCAATAATCTCTACACGCATCCGGAAGAATATACAGTGAGAAATTACATAAATGAATTAGTCATAACAAGCGCGTATATCCCGAGAACGGAAATAATTCGCGCGCGCGTTCGTAGGCATCGGCCATGCAGATTGCTCTCCTCGCGGGCTATTTCGCGCGACCGAGATAGGAATGGCCATTCTCGTGAACAATAGCCGCCGCAACAGCGGAAAATACATAGTGGAACGTCCCCAGAAAGAAGGAGCAAAGGAAATCAAAAGAAACGTTTAGAATTGTTCTTTTGTCACTGCGAAAGATCCTTTTCACGAAAACCGACCGAAAATGCGGTCATCCTTGAATAATAATTAATGTCCGCGTAAGATTAACGTTCGACGATCTCTTATTCATCAGTTAAATCATAGGAAAGGTGAGTTTTATATATATAGTTATTGTAACAACCAAATCGCACGTGGAAACTCTATTTTTGGTCCAAGCCTTCGCTGAGATTTATCGAGAAATCGAAAAATTATGAGCGGCATTGATCGCGCTTGAATTAAACAATCGTAAACTTCAGCTTCTCTCGATCATTGATTGCATTTGCTCGCACGGCTTATCATTCTCAGCGTGGGTGCATCGCTCTATATTAATGTTCGCGACAGGACGCCCGATTATCAAGCCGGCATGTTGCAGGATGCGGCGCAAAGATCTAATCTCGGCTGGCCGATCTCCTCGTCGCGTCGCATCGTCTGATGGAGTGAGGAGGAGTGAGAGAGAGAGAGAGAGAGAAGAGAAGAGAGAGAGAGAGCGAGAGGAAGAGGGGCAAACCACCAACCGGCTCGTCGATGGTTTCGCAAAGTGAGTGCCCGAGAATTAAGTAGGCGGGCGTGCAAGAGTAAGTGTGACCAAAGATCGTTAAGCCGTACCGCGACGACTCCGATTTTCAACGCTTTGCGATTTCGAGACTGAAAGGAACTGTCTGTTTTTACTCCTGGCCGGGAGCGAACACTCCGGCACCCAGAAACACGAACAAGGAGAAAGATTTTTCCGTCGGGTCTCTCGCCCGAGAGATCTCTCGCGTTCAAGTCAAACCGGGCCAGTGACCGCCGCCGTAGCGAGTCGCGCTCTCGAGAGGAATGATTAACGTGTAATAATGGAACTTAATCGCATATAGTAATATCGTAAGATGGGTGTAGCTTGCACCAGGGGATAACTCGGTCGAACAAAGCGCGTATTCAGGACTTACCTCTGGAATATTTAGATAATAAACCGTATATTCGTGATTTTTTTTTTTAAATTCAATATGTAAATATATAATTAATATATAATTCAATAAAATTAATGTAATGTGATTTAAAATCTATATACAAAGATACGCGATTAATATTATCTTGAAAAGATGTTAAATTGATTAAATCGTTGAGCTGTCCTGACTACATGTATAACAAACGAATGATAATTTTGGAAATATTAAAGGATTTTAAGACGAATTTCGAATATATGTTACACCGAGTGTATGCATTTAGCACGGAAGACGCAATATCGCAGATAAAATATTATTATGGAAAACATACAAGATTGGCATGTAACGTAATATAAAAGTTAATGAAATTTGAAATATATTTCATATACTTCAACCAATATTATCCATACGTGAGTGATAATACGCCTTCTGTTCGAATTTCAATGACGCACGTATTTATTAACGTAGATAATAAAAATCGCTCAAAGAGAAAAATAGGTTTCATAATATCAGAATTGTACAGATAATGTAAAATTATCAACGTACGAAAAAAAATTGTAAACCAATATTTGTATGCAATTTTGTACTGTTTGTACTGTTATCACTTATCTACTATTTCGATAACACATCCGACACGTTTCGTATATTTATCTTGTAATTTTATGTCACACGTATCAAAAGGCATAAAAAATAAAATGTAATTTAATAAATTTTAATAAAATATAAACAACTCTTTGTATTATGTTTATTATTATAATAAAAAAGACTACATCTTCGTCTCCATAATTTCAATGTATCAGAAATTTTACATTCTAAATACATTCTTACAAAGTAATTACAAAGTAATTAATTTTGAGTGATGTTTGAAAAGAATCAACATTGCTTACATAACGCATTTTGCAACGTGTAGCAAGCGTAAGTAGCGTGAGTCTTATTAGCGAGTCATCGATAATTCGTGTTGCAAGTGCTATGATGAAGGACGGATTTACATTATAAATTATCTCATCATCGACGTCAATGCACAGACTGTACTTTGTCGAAGAATGAAACAAAACGAAATAAAATCAATCAGCAAGGGAAAAATAAAAAAAAAAGAAAAAACGTTTTTAATTCCATATGAATATAATATCGACGAAATATAGAATTATTAGTTTATTCTTACTGTAAAGGTAAATTTGATTTACATTACGTATCTTATTTTAAGCTTTTCAGGAACTTTAGTTTTGGGCTTAGTTACCATAGAGAGCAACGTGTTTAGCCACGGGCGATTCGAAAGTAAATATACAAGAGTAGTAAGACGTCCTGCGTGACGACACAGCGGAAACAAACGAAAATTTAATCGTAGCACTTTATATGCTATCTACACAGTGCCAATGTCGGCCGATGTTTCTGCGGCTGATGTTGGTCCCGGGCAATTCCGCGACTGCGTGTCTGGCTTCGCTGGTGCTCGTCGATAACTGCCCGCGCGATATATCCCGGAACGGTGTGCACGTGCCGCAGCATCAGGTACGTATTCCGTTCAGCTAAGTAAGTTCAGCCTTTAACCTTAGAATATCCAAAAGTTGGGGCTCTAACGTTTTTTCGTTTCTTCTCGGAAACTGCAGCGAAACTTGGACATTTTTCATCAAAAAGAAATGTTTTGTATATTCAAAAATTTTTCAGCGATGTTATCTCGTCTTGATATATTTCTTCGAGTTCTTCTCTTCGAAGAGAAAACTTTTAAAACTGTATAGGTAACTATATAGGTAAAAGGAAAATTGGAAAATTGGCAATTTTCCAATCGCGACCGCGCCGAATCTGACGAACCGTAATACGCAGCATTTTAGAGAATTAATCTTATCGACAGAAGCCAATACCGTGCATGTACTTTAAGTTTTACATCCGCCATTTTTACATGCAGGATGGAAGTTACATTAAGTTAGAGTTTAATTAACTTTGGGCTATAATTACATTCGCGTCTTTCCACGTTCTGACTTTTAATCCCGGATCGTTAGAGCACAGACCGCCGTTGAGATCTCATTTTTCATCCCGTTAACGTCGAAAGTTCGCAACGCAGAAATTAACGACGCTTATTAATGGCACAATTGGAAAATTAATCGTATGCCTCGTACGTGTATCTCTGCAATTCCGTTTTACTTTTGCAGATCGAATAATATCATTGATTAACGGAAACGTTGAATGATACTTCATATAACTGATAGTTGTAACTTGTTAATAAATTCATAACTTGATAGATGAAATTTTACAGTTACCAAAAATTTTTTAATTTTTTTTTTTGGAAAGTAACCTACAAGTTACAAAGTTACAAGTAAAACCTACTTTAAATGTTTTAACAAGTAAACAAATATATATTTTATTATCAATATTGTATCAGTAGGTAAATGTAATTTTATCTGACATAAATAAAGAGAGATATTTTAGACAATTATATTATTATAATATATTATATATATATTATTATAATATATTATATATACTATACTCAATAAAGTGTTTTTTACTTTTAACTTATGCAATCATCTTTCCTTAAGTACTATATTACGCTAAAATAATTTTTGCTTTTAAAAGCAGATTATAACGCAATTCATCGATTAAAAATTGATTAATTAGCAATCCAATTTACAGTCTTATTTAAAAAAATTGAATTAACTAAAGATAGCGATACCCATCGCGGGGGCGAGGGATATAATCCGTGATCGATCTTAATAAAAATCTGATGTCAAGCTCTGTAAAGAATATCGGATAAGCAAAATAATATCACCGATGGTTTTACCGTGAACACGTGACGCATACTTCATATTGTATTCCAACATTAAAAATAGACATCCTGGAAGAGTCTGAATATTTTACATTGATTGGAGCGGGGAACTCAAAAATATCGATACTACCAGTAGCATCACAATTTCTATATTTATAAAATCATCTTCATTAGTTTCTTTTTTTATGTAAAATGTTAACCTAATATATATAAATATATACACACACACACACACACACACACACACACACACACACACACACACACACACACACACACACACACACACACACACACATATATATATAAATTTTTTATTTTATATAAATTATCTTTATATAACATTTGTTTCCAAAAATTTTTTTTCGAAAAAGCTACAATATTTTTAATTTTTATTTCTAATTGGAATGTATAAACTTACACATAATTTTAAGCTTTTTACTAGTAAAAAGTACAACTCTAATCTTATTACACATTTAACGCGCGTATATTATAATAGATTGTAACAATAATATTAATATAAAATAAAATTTTTCTCAGTTTTATTTCACGTTAATTTATCTATTTAAAGAAACAAACGTTACAAAAATCTATCTACAGCAGTCAATTAATTTTTAATTTAAGGACGTGTTCAATATTTTATATGCTCTTATCTCGATACACGCCTTAACATTACTCGCAAAACAAATATCATCCATATAAACAAATATAACGATTCGTTATCTCTCAAACTGTAAATACGCACATTAAAAAAATTCAGGATCATTAGCAAAAAATTTAGCGACGCGCAATTGAAAAAATCCCGATAAAGAGCCGCGCGCAGCGCGTTGAGTCGGCGGGCGCAGACCGGCGCGGCGCACGAGTAGAGGCACGCTGGTGGTCGTCGTCGTCGACGACGACGACGACGACGACGACGACGACGACGACGATGGCAACGACGACGTATGCGCGAATCTCCGTCAGTCGGCGACGGAGTTGCCTGGTTGCAGCGTGGGTGGCACGCGCGCGCGTCGGCCCGGCCAGCTCGATTCGATTAAACTTCGCCGCAGCCCTCGCTCGCCGCGAGCGGGGTGAGACCTCGTGCCGTGGTTCGTTATGTCGAGCATCATCATCCCCTCGTGCGTATGTCAGCGTCGCATCGCGGGACGCGGATCCGGATAGGCCTCGCGATTCGCTCGTCCACGTCCCGAGCACCGTTCCGGAGCACCCACGTCGAATTGTGCCACGAATTCAGCCGCCTCCCATTCTCACGTCGACACGCGGGTGCGAGAGGTAATTGAAAGAGGAGATCTCACGAGGCCGCGTTCATGCCGCGTATGAATACGGCGAGATTTTTTTTTACGCGCACCCCCGATCGCGTAACCCCCCTTTTCGAGATATATCGTCGTGTCCTTGTGCGTCAAAAGCGCGGATACGCGAATCAACTAGCCTGGTGTAGCCAATTTAAAAGTTCTAGAGTTTCCGAACGTGATCTCATGAACTTTAATCGAACTTTTCGTGTCAAGGTTTTTCACTTGTTTCTCGAACAAATATAAATTTGATGAAAGTAATATTAAAGTTACGAACATTACCAATATTCGCACATTTACGTTTCTGAGGCTTCTGACGGTTAATTGAGCTGACGTTATAAATATAAATCAGAAATAGATTGTTGCAGCTTGTTTTGCATCGTTATACAGTTTAATTTTAGAGTAAAATTTTAGATAATTCAAGAACTATATTTTCAAAAAGAAATAAACAAATTTAATCGTATATAAAACATTTCTTCGTATATAAAAAAGAAATGAAATGCGTGAAATCTTAGTCTTGTATGTACCATAATTATTTTGTTGTGTGTGTGTATATATATATATATATATATAGACTCAAGTTTCACATTTTACCAATAAATTCTAGTGGAATTAAATTTCAATTATCGTATTTGGCCAGTAAATTCTAATGACTCTTCTACTTTTTTCTTTTCAATCTTTTACAAGAAGTATATTAAATATATAAGATTATTTATTATATAAGCCTATTCTATATATGTATATATATTGATTCATCGGAATTCGTTCTTCAAATCTATGAAACAGATTTGCGTCACGTACTCACTCATTTACACGTTGACGCTACTTTTGTCGGCTACTGTAATGCGCAACGTGGCCCATCATTCAACGTCCGATATTCAATTATACCCCTACGCTTCCTACGGAAGGGGTTTGGTGGGGTTCGTTTTATCTGGCCTTCCGAAGCTGCGAAGCTATACTATCAAGAAGAAACATTATCTCCATTGGGGACAACCTTGTGGATATAGAGGATAATCAAGCTAGAATTTGTTTCATTTCGCATCTCAGATCAACAATCCACAATGGATCCTGTAATATTGTTTCAAGTGTTGATTCATCCGACCGAATGAAAATCGGTTATCGGTGATTACATGATTTACTTAAAACATTTGTTCATCTGTTAGACGATAATAGCGCGATAACAGAGTATATATTAATTCGCGCCGAGTGACACCTGTACATTGTGTATGAAAATTTCTGTCTCTCGGTAAATCTACGTTTAACTACGATTGTCTCTCTTTCCTTATGTTATGTAGAAACGAATAAGCGGAAGGCGCACAATCTGATTATCCATACAGATTATCTACGGAAAGGAAGAATTGCAGTATGCGGTAAGAGATAATTCTTCTGCATACAGCAAAGAAAATAGACTTTACGTACAGCGTTCAAAGCAGACGAAGTATTTTAACGAAATATCCGTATGTTCAAAGAAATTAATAATATAGTGATTATGTGCAATATAATGTATGAATATATAAACAAATTTATAAATAAGTGACAAGTGATTTTAACAAATTCTCATATGATTTTATCGCATAAAATTAAAGATAAGAATATATTTTCTACAATAATAATTAAAACACGAAAGTTAATTTTATTTTTAAAACATTACAAAATCTTTTTTTATAAATAACTTTTGTAAACAACAGATTTGTATTTCAGAAATTTTTTTATATTTATCGTTTTTATTTTTCTATATTTTTTTCTATTGATTTTTAAGTTGTGTTTGATATACTTGCCGCCGAGATGGGGAAAAGGAATAACATAATACCAATATACTGATGTAATATATTCGTCAAATTATTGTGCAAATATCGCGAATTAAAAATTAAATATAAATATTCGTATCGGATATCGCATGATTACTGGAACACGTACTTCCTTAAATGAGCTCAGCTCAACCGGAAGCCAAGCGAGATGAAGTCTTATCGGAAATGTTTCCGCTGAAACGAAATTGGAACCAGTTTACGAAGAACTTTGTATCACACACGATTACCGGCCTATCAAGAGAAGAACGTGCAAGTTCAGCTACAGCATAAGCGGCATTTATCTAATCAGTTCGATGTTTTGCCACTTTAACCCTTAACTGATGACATGAAAAAAGTCAATTGATGATGAAATATCTTTCAGAGCATTTATGTCACTTTTAGATTCTTTTTAAATCTGAAGAATTATTTTTTGTTAATATCATGTTAATCGCTTTTATTTTTTAACTGTAGGAACATGAAAAAATAAAACTAATTGCATTACGATTAATATTTTTTAAAATTATGTAACTGTTTTGTTACGAAAACTAAAAGATAAAGCTCAATTTATGGATTTGAAAAGGATGTTATATATTTTTTTAATAATTAGAATTTATTGAAGCGACACTTTATATTATTTAATAAAATAATTTCTCTGTCAATGACGTTTTCAAGTAAAATGTATAACAATTCCGCATTTTATTTTTGGCTGTTAAATGTTTTTCTCTACTAGACATTTATTCTTTTTCTTTTCTTCTTCTCCTACAAATTGTTTTTTTTATTGTGACAAATTTCTAATTAATATAAATAACAATTTCTACTTACACATATATTATAGTTTAATAAAATTCAATATGTTATTAAGTTCCTTCTATCATCATAACTTTAGAATAAAATTAATGGTCATTAATGGTCATTTCTATCAATATAGTATAGCATAGTTATATTAATTATAACTTTAATACTAATTTAATTTATTTTTTATCTTTTATTAATTTTAAAAATTAGAAAAAGAGTAAATTAAACTGAGATTACAATTAATCTACATTTATGGAGATGATCATACTTTTTTGTGCCGTATTTCTAAATTACTATAAATTTTATTCTCCTAAAGAACTTTTAAAAGTTATCTATTCAAATCGTTTTTAATACAAACTTTACTTTTCGGGATTAAACTTACTCGAAAGAGGAAAAAATACAAACGCGACAATAACGCGACAAAGGACTAAAAGAGATTCTTGATAAATATTTGGTAAACGAGTAATTTTCTATTTTCCGAGGCGAGAAACATTGAAAAACAGCTCACTTTCGATTTCAGAAGTTCGAAGTAACGAAGTAATCGATCACGTGTCAGCGTCTTTGAGAAGCACGGCGGCTGCTCGATGATCGTCCCCTTTTGTCGAGAGGACGAAGAAGACGAGGACGAAGAGAGCGGCGATTCGCGAGAGGACGGATGTCTACGTCGCGGTCGGCGATGTCGTGCGAGAGAAGTGGGGAACAAGTGGCGAACAGTTGAGACGTCTTCGACGGGGGTAAACCGATCGCGAGGTACAATAAAACCGGCAAAAGTGCGACGGGATCATGTGAAATTGCTTTTGATCTTCCGTGACCTCGAAGAAGGTGCGACAGCATGATGTGGAAGGCGAAATGGTCACGCTTCACCGAGTGCTTCTGCCGACGGCCCGGCCTCGTTCTGGTTCTGCTGCCGTGTCTGATCGTCGTCACCCTCTACCTCATTTCCGGCGACGAGTACGAGTACGATGTACTGCAGTATCCGTCCTTCAAGTCATACAACGTCGCTGAAGGTGAGTGCTTCCTTATGTCTTTGCCATGCGTTTGACCATTGGTTTGTTTGTTTCGTCGTCAAAGCATAATCTGACGTCACAATTATTATTGTATATTAAACATTATAAAAAACTTAAAAGAGCAGTCCTATATTAATAATACTATATAAATTATATATAATTTTTATTTTAATTTAATTATTTATGATATAAATTATATTTTGAATTATATTATGAGGTGTTAATTTTTGTGGAATAATATTGTTTTATAAACTCGAAAAATGCATCTATATTGCAAAGATAACATAGACAAGTATTAAAAATACAGAAAAAAATAACAGAATGTTTATATTGTCATCATGTGATGTTATGATATTTGATATGATTATGATATGTCGCTTTATAATATTTGATATAGATTAATGAACGAATCGATATTCTTATCTTGTGATAAGAGTATCGATTCGTGCAATATAACTTAAATGTTACAAAAAGTTTACGAGAGATTTAGTACTCTTAATAAAATTAAGTTAAATTAACTTAAGTTAATACTCTATTCAACACAATATAATACTCTGAACAAATACTTTACACTGCTTAAAAATTAATTTATCAGCAATTGACTTTTGATATCCTGGAAGTGGTAATAAATCAACTATAAATTACAGTTCTGTGTCATCGATTGTCAACTATTTATAAACGATACCATACTTGACGTGGCAAAATGAATGGTTTAGTAATAAAAAAACTATAAATATTTGAAAGGTCGCCCACAGAGAGGTCCCCTCATAGAAGTTTCTATTTTGATGTCCTATTTTAAATATTTTATATATTTTCGCGAAGCTGCACAAAGTCCGACGCTTTCGTTCCTCGTAAGGGCATCGCTTATTCATTATCACAAAACGCAAGCTCTAAACGTCGAAATCTGAGGCCAGCAGAATTTTAATAACTTACATTTGACGGCAGGCATGGTGGACGGCTACCTCGTGTGGAATCCGAAATGTCACATGCTATCCAAAGAGCCTCTGGATCCGTCCATCACGAAATTCGTGAGGAAGGAAAAGCTGGAAAAATGCCCGAACGATCGCGTTTTCTCGCAAATTTCGAGAGAGCCTAATGGCAGCGTGTTTCTTTCTCTTGACCCCTCCATAACGGCTAAACACAGCGACGTTGTCTGCTGCTGGTCGTCCGTAGTCAGGCCCAAGGTGGACAAGCCCAAAAAGGATAACTACGATTCTACGATATCGTAAGATTTATCATCATTATTTTGTGCATTTCTGGCGTGGTTTCTTACAGCACTTTGAGTAAAAAAATTTAATCAGTTATAAAAAAAGAATTTAATGGCAAGAATTTAATTAATTAATTTATTTATTTATTTACTTATTTATTTATGACGCGACGAAAAGTATCTAAAGAAATCAAACTCACGAGTTATTTGGCTTATTAGAATTTTTCCTAGAAAAACATTTGCGATCTTTTCTTCCCGACAGAGTCAAACAATGCGAGAACTTCACGGGGCAAGTGGTACTTCCGGTCGAAGTGGAGGTGGCATACGTGTCATGCAAGGCGAAGACGAAGTCGAAACCGAAAACGAAAATGAAGAGCGCGAAACTATCGACAAGCACGGTGTACGAGAATGTTCACGCGATTCTAAATCCGGAGAAGGTACGGGAACGTCTGGATCATAACGGCAGCCAGTTCGGAAACTTCTCGAGAAAGCTGAGCGTGCTCGTCCTCGGCATCGACAGCGTCAGTCGACTGAACTTTTATCGCACCATGCCGAAGACCGAGAGGTATCTGCGGGAGACCGGATGGATCGGCCTGAGAGGCTACAACAAGATCGGCGACAACACGTTCCCGAATCTGATGGCGATCTTGACCGGCCAGATGCCACAGCAGGCGTACTCGCGGTGCAAGCCGACGGTGGCCTACAAGCTCGATAACTGCCCCTTTCTCTGGCACAACTTCCGCAATGCCGGCTACATCACGGCCTACGGCGAGGATGAGACCATCCTCAACACATTCAACTACCTCAAGGTTGGCTTCGTCGAGCCGCCAACGGATTACTACTTAAGACCCTACATGCTGGCCAGCGAGAAACTCCTCAGGGTCAAGAAAAGGTAAACAAAAATTTAACTTACTGCCCAAAGAGCAAGTCCTGATTCTTTTGCACCGACCGAAGAAGATTTCCATTCGCGCTGTGCTTGCAGATTCAACATGAAGTACTGTACCGGGCCCGAGTTGAGCTTCGAACGGATCTTCGACTACGCCATGAGCTTCGCCCAGACTTTCATCGGTGCGCCGTATTTCGGCTTTTTCTGGACGAACACGCTCAGCCACGACAACATGAACGGCATCTCGTCGATGGATGCTCGCCTGCTCAAAAATTCGAGTTTCTGGAACAGGAAGGAGTGCTGAACGATTCGATGATAGTCTTCCTGAGCGATCACGGCATGCGCTGGGGTGAATTTCGCAACACCTTCGTCGGCTGGTACGAAGAGAGATTACCGTACATCTACATCTGGCTGCCCGAGTGGTTTCGCCGGGAGAATCCCGAGGCCCATCGAGCACTCGCGGTGAATCAGAACCGACTCACCTCACCGTTCGATCTCTACGAGACGCTGCGGGACGTTCTCGTTGTCGGAGGTGGCGATGCTGACTTCAGTCCGGGATGCTCCACCTGTCAGTCCCTTTTCGCGCCTGTCCCCAGAGAGAGGGGCTGCCAAGACGCGGGTGTGGCTTATCATTGGTGTACCTGCACGGCCTTTAAGTCGATCAAGATAAACGACAGGATCGCCGTCGGCGGCGTGCAGAAGTTTCTAGATCATATCGAGAGCATTGTTAAAAATTACAAAGATAAGAAGGGCCGGCGGCTGTGCGCGCGACTCAAGCTGAAGAAGGTGCATCGCGTGGACCAGGTGATTGACTTCGGCACGGATAGCCCGTCCAGTATCACGTACTTCTACATGATTCAAACGACACCCGGTAACGGGAACTTCGAAGTGACCATCCGATATCACAGCGACGGCAATTATACTCTGTCCGACAGCGAGGTCAGCAGAATCAATCCTTACGCCACGAGCGCCAAATGCCTGAACCGCGGCATGAAGCAGTATTGTCACTGTGTAAAATAGATATCGCGACCTGGATTTTGCACGCGTTGTACTCGCAACTTTGTACTTTATTAGCGTTTCGACGAATCAAATCGTTCGCCGTTGGAGAGGGGTCAACTTTTCCAAGGACAAGACTTGCCGACATATCCTAAAAAAAAAAAAAAAAACCGTTTCTAAATTCAAAATGTAACAAGAGCGAAAAATATTTATGATTTCGTTATTTTAATATATATATAACTTTTACGAAACGAACGTAGAAACTCGTGACATATTTGCGTGATATATGCAACATTTGCGTTATGATACATATCTGTGATCACCACAATGATCGATCGATCACTTAATTGCACTTTATTAAATATGTACGATTACGATGGATTCAAATCGACTTTCAGCACGCAAATGCGTAGTTGTATTGATATGCTTGGTACATATTAAACGTAAAAGTTGACTGCCTCATCTCAAGGAACTAGGGACCTGAGTGTGGATATATACATGGACATACTTTCTAAGTTTACTAAGAATAGCTAGGACTAGATTTTTCTAAAGATGAGGTTTCATAGGTTAAACAATAAGTGATAACAGTCAGTTCGATATCAATGAGTTGAAATGAACTTATTGATCTCTCCAAATAAAATCTTAGTTGAGGAAATGGAAATTAAATATAAAAGCTAAATGTCAAGATCGTCGATAAGAAATCCATTGTATTTTATATTGTATATAAGAATATTCTTACATACAATAAAAAAAAATGTTATTTAAAATATCATATTACACATTCGCGCAATTGGAAATGCGATTTTTGACAATTAGCTGATATATTTTTACTCTCTATTACCGCACTTACACGGTTTAACCGCAAGAAGAAATGATCATGAGAAAACGAGCGTAAGCGTGGAACATAAATTTTCATTCCGTACTTCAATAATAATAATATTTGTCATTTGTAAATAACGGTGTGACGCCTTATCATACATATCTTACTAGAGGCGGTCAACGCGCACGGTAATTTTTTCCACGCACCATTGCACGTGGATCGATCGCGAACATGTACGACACGTTTCGTTCGAATCGATGTACGTTAAAGTTGCATGAAGGCTTAAGTGCGGTAAGCACGTAGAAGAGCCATAAAAACATACCCGGAAGAGAGCATGAATGTATTTTCGTGGCAATGTGACGGCGACGTATGACACTAACTCCCTTCTTACGAATGTGTACCACGAGGCATTGGTTGTTTGTAAGTGACGCGTGTGCCTGTCTTAAAAGAAGTGCCAAATCCGTTCTGTGCTAAGACCGAGCGTCGAAACTGAACTTCTCTACTTCCCGCACCGTGACAGTGATCGCCATAGATTGTACGTTGTCGTACAATACAGCTTAAGCGAGCGTGAAACCAAAATGTTGCGTTTAACGGGATAACGGGAACAAACGCGAATTAAAAAATTGTAGCATGTTTCAAGTCCGATATTTTGAAGCTGATATCTTAAAGACGAATCTTTTGGTAAATTTTTTTTTTTTTAATTGGAAATATCAAAAGAGACCTGAATCAGAACTTTCGGATTTTCGAAAAATTAATTCCAACATCAACGAAAAGTTTATAAAATATTCTTTGGAGGTCTAAAACAATTTGTAAGTTTTATTATAAGATAACAAAATGTATGGGTCGCCTTCGCATACGAGGAGTAAGGAATTATACATGTGAGCTGAAAACAAAGGCCAATGAATATTTGACATATATTTTACTACGATACGTACGCTTTATCCTAGACAATGCGAGGATATCCTCAGTCTAATCGAAAGAGGTATAATTAACGAATGCTTCGGGATTATTTGGAGACTGTCCACGTGGAATCTCCGTCGAGAGTCAACCAAGCCAAGTTAAACCGAATTCTTTAGATGACAGAAGTAGAATCTAATTGCCAAAAGTATTTAGAAGCATATTCTTCGTGCTTACATTTTCAGTTACAAGTTTCTAATTTCAAAGACGAACGCAAATTTATTACAGAAAATTCTTCTTTTAAAAAGACGGATACGAATGGAATTATTATCTTGAAAAACGTTTGGACAGATTTGTGTATACGTCTTTGAGAATAACATATTTTCATGCTGAATTAATTAAATTATTACATTAATATAATGTGAAAGCGTGTCTTAGCTCGCTCTCTTTAATTCTTTTTTTTTCTTTTCTAAAAGTAAGACCGTAAGAATTCAATTTGATGCGACATATTCCTTGTTTTGGATAACTCCACATTTATTAAAAATGTCTTCTACGCAGCATTATCCAATTATAAATATATTTGTACATAGAATTTTTCTACCTATTTAAGCATTAATTAATTTTTTTTTAATACACGATACAATTTCTGTTTGCAAATTGTTCTTATTTGTTTTAATTAAAGTTGACAATTTCTTTAATAGTTATTAATTATTCTGATATAAACTGATTTGATAATAAAGCACAATAATATCAAGTGTGTGTAAATCTTTTACCTCTTCTCTTGATTTTTTTATACATACTACAAAAATTTGAATTCAATTTTGTATAAAGTCAAATTTAATAAAATAATGAAATTTATAGTAATATATATAATTATTAGCAAAAATTATGTCGTTTCCGATGTTTTTAATGCGTCAATGTGTTTGTAAGCAAAAAACTTTGGTGAATTAATTTTTAATAAATCTCGATATATATAAATTAATATTATATTTTCTTCAGATGTTATTTTCTTCATCAAAAAAGAAGAAAATTAACACAACCACGTATACTCGATAACTTTCTGGTTCAATCGAGCACATTTAATTTGAGATATCTTCAGAACGCCAATTGCGAGCGCGCATGTATCTCTCTCTTCTCGTTTGTTGCGAGGATGCGGTTTGATTGCACGCGAATTCGTGCTTCGGAGTACCGAACAATATTACGGCAACCGATTGTCGGTGTCCGTGGTCGATGTTGGGGCTTTTGCGCGCAAGATACAAGTCGAGAATCTTGATGCCCTCGTACAAACTGTCCAGGTCACAGCTGAAGGGTTGTCGATCGCTGCGACGTCTTCGTCCAACGATGCTCTTTGGTGTGGTCTCGCTCGGCGTGTTCATCATCGTTCTGGGACTAGTGTAACTACCGTTGCTGCTAACTGTCTCCGACACGATCTCGAAATCGTCCTGCAGTTTATCGTAACTGTTGCAAGTGCTGATCGTCGAGTTCTTGCCGTCGCAGTTGTCACGAGAGAACTTTCTGGAGGAATAGCGCAAAGTATTGCAGGGCGATGAGATTGCCGTCGAGTTGGCGCTATGATGAAGTGGTTTCGTCAATTTAAAACCTAGAACCCTAACAATAGCGCTTTTTGAAGTAAAAAAATCCTCTTCTTGACGCCCAATCGTGGATGTGATAGCTGTTTGATCTGACTCCGGTATCTCGCGATCGTCGATGCTTAGCGGTGTCGCGGAAGTTGACGTATTGCTGAGATCTTGCAGATTAGTGCGACTAATGGTACAGCCGCACGCACCCTCGCAGGAGCAACTGGTATCCTTTTCGTCCGCACTGTCATCTCTTAAAAATTAAATAAATTAATGAGAGTAAAAAGAAATTGTATTTTTTTGATACAGATATAAAATTCTTAAAATTACCTTTCAATAGTCTCGTCATAATTTTCTTCCGAAACGAGTCTATTATTCTCTTCTGTGGTATCTTGGAGAGTTTCATGTACAATCTGAATCTCTTTCGGTGAATTTTCAGATTGTCTACTCGTATCTGAAGTGACATGTTCTATTCGAGGTGCACTAAAAGTCTCGGTGTTCGTGGATGAAGATGGACCAGGAGGTGAATGATTGTTGGAAGAGAATTGAGGCACACTGCGTCGAAGCCAAGTGCGACGAACAGGACAAATCTGTTTCATTGACGCTGATAAGCTAGCTAAGTTTATGTTTCTTAGAATTGTTTCCGGAGGTGTGATGTACGGAGGTGGTGGACTCTCGGGTATACGTAGTCGACTGTTTTCCGATGTTGTCGACGTTCTTTGGTTGCTACGATCATTACTCGCGTCCTCCACGACCAAGTAAGTAGAAGAATTCATGTTCTCGTTGCATCTATGCAAAATTCCAAATTTAATTTTTGGAAAGTATGCAGTTTTGCAACAATGAAAACTTAATTATTAATATTTTCTCTCTAAACTATCTCTTTACAGCAAATTCCAATTACTGTTTCCAACTGTTTCATTTGAAAATTAAAAAGTACAATCATTCAAAGTACACAGATAATAATTACTAATTTATTTATAAATAAATAAACTGTTAATCTGAAAAAAATATAAAAAAGATATAAAAGAATATCGAGATATAATTGACGAATTAAATTTTAAAGGTGCAAGTAAAAAATTAAGTTAAATTATATTTTTTAATTTAACTTAAAGTTATTATTCTTTTATAGGATTTTGATATAAAAAAATTAAAAATTGAATTGTCGCAATAAATAATAATCTCGTTGCAACTTTTCAAATATCGAAAAATTTGTTTCTAAAATTTTATGTATTAACTTCGGAACATGTCTGAATGTAATATAAAATAAAAAAAAATACAAATACTTACTGGTTTGAAGAATTTCTGTTACAAATTCTGTCGCGATTCAAACATCGAGCCTTCTTCAAAGCGAGCTTTGCGACTTCTTCATAGTCCGGCGGAGCTTCGTAATCGGGTGGATCGTCCGGAATGGATATTTCATCGATCCGTGCACCGTCTGTAATATCAAAAACTGTCCGGAGTGATGTAAGAGACGTTTTGCTCGCATTAGTTTATGGGAGTTGACTCCCATTAGCAGTCAATGTGCTTCAATTCACATTTTAAACTCGCGACGTAGTCCATTAATTTTCACGTAAACAACCTGATAGAAATCTATCGATCGCATCTTTTTACTTTTACAAGAAAATTTACAATGTAAATATATATTTTTAATATATATTTTTATTTCTCAAATAATAATAAACAATAATAAAATGAATATTATTTTTCTAATATTACGTTAAAAATATATCTTTTTGTTCTCGATATTATTAATTAAAGAAAATTGGTTTAACTTACAAATCTCAGAAATTTAAATTAAAAATTGTATGTTGCACTTTGTGTGAAGTGAACTAGAAGAAATATATTATCTTCTTCACGTTTAATTTAAAAAATAAGAATTATTTCTTTCAAAGCAATTTTCTTTAAATGAACATTTAAATGAACGTGGCGAGTTCTGACATTACGAACAAATAATGTTTTCTGCAAAAAAATCATACCTAGAAGCTCGCTGATTGTTTCCAAACGAGATTGTAACTCTCTTTGTTGTCTCGCCCTGGCTCCTATTCTGTACAGCAATATAATAAGGGCTGATATCAGAATAATCAAGCCGAGGCTACTGGCAACAAATATCAGGGTAGCCGTTTTCATATCAGGATATCGATCGATCTTCGGAAAATAATAATTCGCTTTATTCATATGCCACTTGCGATCGCGTGGCTGCATCTCCCAATCTATGGATATTAAATTCAGTAATTAATTCATAAATAATAAACCTCAATTTAAAATAGTATTAAATTTTTACATTGCCATTTTCTTCGCATTAAAAATAATTTTTAACGCTTTCAAAGTCTCAAATTCGAGATTCGAAATTGCAATTATCCAAAGATACGTACTTTGAAAACATGTCGCTGGTTCATCACTGTTGTCACCGCAATGGTCGAAACCGTCACAATTCAGTTGACTCGGGATGCACCTATGATTCTGACACAGGAAATCGTTGTCCGCAAAGCAATCTGTAACATTCAATCCAATTCAATTAAAGGAAAACGAAATTTTATTTTAGGTTTATCTGGAGCTAAGCGATTGTCGCGCGATTCATCAAACTCACCCATGTAGCTGAAGGCCGCATAAGCGATCGCCAAGTGAGAATTTGAACCGAATGTACCGCGAAGGCTCACGTGGAATCCGCTGGTGACCGGTGCGACGTGTTCTCTGGGTCTGAGTGGCTGTAACTGACTCGCCGGATGTCGAATGACTTCCAGTGACATTAGAGCCGAAGTTGGACCTTCCTTGATGATCAACTCCGTATTGCCGGCTGAAATACAATTGCACTGTAATAACACGTAGATGCACTCTTAAGAAAAGCCGGTTTTGTTTTTTTTTCCACAATTGTCTTGTACTTTTCTTTTCGTGTGATCCATGAAAAAAATAAATAAATTCAAATTGGTCGAAAAAAAATAAGAAAAAGAAGATGAAGTAAATTTTATATTTTATATCATTTTTAACTTTGCCTATTTTATTTGATGTTTCAATAAAAAAAAGTACTTTACTCTTACTCTTGCGACGTACCCATGTCAGCGAAACCCACTACCTTCAGATACATGTGCGTCTTCATGTGCAAGAAATTCTTGGGTGGTCTGATCAGCCAAACGCAATCGTAGATCTTCACTCCTTGACCGACCATGTTCATCATCGTGATGGTGCCACCCAAATTCTCCACGTATCCGCCGCAATCGGTGATCGGCTGTATGGATTTATCGTATGTATGACCGATCACAAAAGAGTAAAAGGCCTTGTAACCAAGACCAGTGCCACCGTTCGCGTAGAATCTTATGAGCAGCGACGGACCAGAACTCACTATGACCGGTGGCCGAAATCGCGCACCGCTACTCACGTCCAAACGTTGTCCATTCCAGTCGTAAAACTGAACACGTAAATGTTAGACATACAATACGTCGACACGTGGCAATATATAAAATCTTTTAGAAATTATTCAGCGCACATTAAATCTTATAGATTGTCATAAAATTAAAAAAAAAAATTCAAAACAAAATCTTTCTTCACAAGATTATCCAAACCATGTAAAAATTCAAAAAAATTTCCTAAGATCTTCTAAGATCTTCTAATATTTCTTATACATTTCTCGAATTTATAAACTATATTATTTAATTATTTTTATAAAACAATCCTTTTGTAATGTTAAAAAATATTGGATAAAATTAGAATATTTGTTATCGTTAAATTTTTCTGAAAAAGTAAAATTAAGATAAAATAAAATAATTAGAAATGCACCTCCATTATAGAGACCGTCGCTAATTGAAAGTCGCTAAACAACAACCTGATGCGACAGAAGCGATCCTCGCTGGGGCACGTGATGACGTATTCCAAGCCCAAGTCACGAGGATATCGAGCCGGGAAAAACGGCGAGGTCAAAATACCACCGCCGGTACCATTCAAGCCCTTTGTCGGCGCTCTCGATGTCATTTCCTTCCCTTTCAAATGCAGTCTATTTCCTGCGGGACGAAAGCGTCGATTCCAGAATACTTTGTCCACGCCGGGAGCATGTGACATTCGATTTAGAAAAATCATTTATGTCGCCACGCGTTAGACGAATAGACGTCGAGGCGTATCGGAAAAGTCGCGTCGGCACGCAAATTGTCTCTACGAGATCCCGCAAATAGAATTAAGATTTGCCACAAGTTAGAATAAAGGATTATAATATTCAATCCCAATCCAATTAAGGCTCCTCGTGCTATTATCTTATAAACTTTTCATCTAATACGATTAATAGCCGAAGGCTATTATTTCTGCTATCATTTCGGTTCATTAGCATCGATCCTAGATTCATACCGGAAGACTTTTAGAAAATTGATTTGTCTTTACATTGACATTTATTATTAATTTAATTTTAATTATCCTTACTAACTTTCCGCCGTGTACTCGATGGTAAACGCGTGCTTGTGGAATTGGCTGTAAAGTAAAGTTATAGACAGAGTTCTCGTGCTCGATCTGTACGTGATCGGTGCGTATAATCCGCAAAAGGGAGAGCCGGAAACCTCCTCGTAGGGCGGTTCTGAGAGCCACACGTAGTCGCACCTGCAAAACGGATATATGGCTCCAAAGTGAGTTTGCGGTTACCGCGATATATGAAGCGCCTCGAGAGTGATATAGATCTAAGCTACATCCGTGATATAGATCTAAGCTACATCCGTGATGGAATTAAGTTAAAGAGATATAGCTCTAACTGATACGATTTTCTACCTGTCTCCAAACACCTCGCGCGTTCAATATATAATAAACACTAACTGACTTACAACAGCTTATTTAATTATATTATCTATAACCTTTTTTAAATATTAAATATTTAATATTAAATATTTAATTATGTATATGCACGTTATGTTATTTCTCGAATTTAAACTCAAATATATACCCTTTCACTCTTTTCTAAAATTTAGACGTATTCAATAACTTACTTTTTTCTGTAAGTTTGCTTAATTTTATATAAAGCACATAACTTGCGTATTTATATTTCAAAGCGTAAAAAATATAGAAAATTAGATCAGAAGGGAAGTTTCGATCGATAAACTATTGAATGCTCTTTGAACATAAATATCGGCTTTTTTATCAATTTATGGCATACATATCTTTTAATATATGAAAAGGAATTATTGTTATTCGTATTCAAGTGCGGGTAGTGTAAAAAGGAAACTTGTAAGTTTATGCTGCGTATACGTACACGAAAGCAATATTTAATAAATAATAAATTTTAAGCATGTTCTAAAAAAAGGAGATAAGAGGCTATTTTAGATAATCTGTATATTTTATAGCAAAATTCGATGGGGGAAGATTTTATTTATAATTTCAATTGCCAATGAGCTCACTGATATTATCGATCCCACCTGCACGGACTGTCCATCACGACACCTCCATCGCCGCAATGATGTGGAAGCGCGATGTTCTTGAAGGTAACAACTATCACGCAGGACGGACAGGTCACTAACTCTAAACTGCACTGATGATGAGAGCTGTTGATGGTAGCGGCATAGAGACGTGGTACCAGCTGCCTTGGCGAATTCCTGACGAAGGTGACGTTTTTTGCGTAGAGAATGCCCTTCTCGCCCAATTCCAAATACAGACGTCTACCATTGTGAGAGCCGCAGATATTTTCATTGCGGACGATGTTTCCGGTTGTTGCAAGGATCCACCAGAACGTCACGAGAATCACTACATCCGTTTTGTGAAACAATCGCGTGTAACAGATATATCAATGACTGATTTGCGAAAGTTTTATAAAATATATAGTCTTAACAGAGATAAAATAATATGTAAAATATAAACAAATTTCTTTTTTTATAGAAACTAGAAATCAATATTTCAAAGGAAAAAAATTTTGTGCACATAAAAAAAGAATAAAGCAAATCGAAATTTTTTTTTATATTTTTATAAATATTCTTTATAAATCAAGGCAAATGAATACATATAGTGTGATATCACTGTATTTCTTACCATACTTGTAGTGACACATATTTGTAGCGCGGAAAGCGACGTTCTGCACTTTCCGCCAGGAAACCCAATGAGATTCTACATAATTTCGTTAGCGCGGTGACAGTCATGTATCTCACTAATATCAAATAAAGCATTCTTATGGTATCTTCCGAACGCATAGCGGTTGAATTATGTTTGCAGTTTACACTATGTCCTATCAAATTTAATGGGATCACATTATAAAATCGAAAAGGATTAATTTTCATTATTTTTATACTATTCAATCAGATATAAATAAATAAATTTAAAAAAATATTTGTACAAAATTGTTCGTATTTCATATAAAAAATCTTTAAGAAAACTTTAGTTATTTTAATAATTTGAATTAGTCAATATAAATTTTAGGTAATCGTCTAATTTGCCGATGTCTTTGTTGGACACACCCATTCACATTAACTAATGCTCAAAAATTTTTCATTGGACTATCAGAAAATCATAATTTTTCGATATTATACCGGTATTATACCTAGAATATACTTGGAATGTTCTGAGAATATAGTATAACATATTATAGTATAACAATGTTCTCACATTCTCACATCAACATTTTTGGTATATTCTCAGAACATTACTATTTACTACTTAAATGAAATTTTATTACAATAACCATATATCCATGTATTCAGTGTGCGTTACATTTAATGTTTATTAATGTTTATTAAGGAAATTGATTTTAGAACCTTTATTCCTATTCCTAATATCTAATATTCCTCTCTTGTGTTCACAGGATTTAATATTTGCATTCATGGTCATAAAAAAAATATTTGTGCAAACGTTCTTATATAGGATATATAAATAATAAATCTGTTCGTGTTACTTAAAATTTTCAAAAAAATTTTGCATTTGATATTATGAAAATTTCAGTTATATATCGATATTTGATGTCCGGTTATACACCGGTATTCATTAAAGATTTTTAGTCGATATTACAAAAATATCGATATTACAAAAATAATGATATATGTGATACCAGTATACAATCTAGCATAATTATTTCGGTATTCAGTCCCTAATATAAACATAACGACAAAGAGATCAAGTGCGATTATTATAGAGTAGAGGGAGTACAAAAGCGACACAAGCGTTTTAGTATTGCGGAGAGTTCAAAGCGACGTGGTTACGTAGCACTAACGAGTTATGAGAGATCCTGATCTTCTGATGAATATTCCAGAATTATCAAATGATTCGCCCGAGATGGATCTTAGCATCTATCCAGAGAGAAAAAGATTTCCTTTTTGCATCGTTTGGACTCCGTTACCCATCTTAACGTAAGTCAATAACAATTAATTGCGTCTTAACCATAACCTTGCTCTTCTGACATTTGATAGATCTAGCGAATTCATTGGGATATATTGTTACACGTTAAAGCCATCGTATAAAAATATATGTTTAAATGTTGAGTTAAAATCTGAAATACACATTATATTTTTGTTAAGATATTTAATGAAATGTTTATTGGGCATTTTATCATTTCATCAAATATTTGTATTTCCTTTTACATTTAGGTTAGATCAGTGTACAATGGATTTAATGTGCATAGATATGTACATGTTAGTACATCAAATTCGCAAAAGATTGAAAGTTTTCATTAATTACATATGCATTATGGAAATAATTCATGAAATTTATAAACTTTTCTCTTAACTAGTTAATGAATTATAATTCCGAGCAAGGTATACAGTTTGTAATCGATATCAAAATTTGCTTTATTTGAAGATATATTCTGCCTTTTATTGGTCACATGGGTATTGCAACATCAGCGGGAGTAATAAGAGACTTTGCTGGTCACTATTATGTCTCTGAAGACAATATGGCATTTGGTAAACCTACTAAATACTGGCAACTAGATTATACCAAAGCCAAGGGAGGTATACATGGATGGGATGCTGGTATCGCAGAAGCTAGTGAAATTTACAAAACTAAGATGGTAATGAAACCATAAGTTTTGAGAGCAAAAAGCTTCTGTACTTTATAATTATAGAGCTGACTTTTTACAGCATAATTTATGTTGCGACAATTGTCATTCACATGTGGCAACAGCTTTGAATTTAATGTCATATAATAATTTGAACAATTGGAATATGGTAAAATTAGCATTTCTTATGTTGCTTCATGGAAAGTACGTCAGGTAAAAACAAAATATAGTTAAGAAAAGAATCATTTATCTTTATCTATTATTAATATTATTTGTTATATGTGTTTCAGTATTTCTGGCTTTCTTAAGACCTGGTTACCTTTTTTTATACTTGTTACGATTATACTAACATTAAGTCTATGTGTGTGTTAATTTTATATTGCTTATATTTGTTTATATATGCTTATATTTATTTATATATGTATATAAATTATAAAATGTCAATTTATGATATATATATATTTGACATGTCAATTTACAATATTATGTATAGGATATAATCTTAATCTTGAAATACTCTAACAAGTAAAAACATATAAAGATAATTTTCCTAAAATGGTAGTTTGGCATTGCAGCTTCAAATGTAGATCTTAATTATCAGAATTTTACATATGCAGAACATTTTGAAAAATACCATGCCAAATTTTGCCAGTATATATATATGTTTATTCACATACATGTCTTTATCAGATGTAAACATTAACATTTAATTTTTACAATTTTTTTTAATAAACATATTGACTATATAAGAGTTATATGACAATGGAATTAAATCTAAGATGGCTTTTCATATGACATTATATTATATATGTGTACATCTAAAAGTAATTTTTATTTTATTTATTATTTTACATTTATTTATACACAGCTGTATATAGATTCAATACCACTATCTTTAAACAACATATGTTATGAGACATGCAACATGAAATATGTGCTTTAATTACATGTGCAAAAATTATGGCAAAAAATATTTATAATAAAACTACCTACGTAATTAAGTTTTCAATACATAAAAAAATAAATCTTAAATATATTATCTTTTTGTTTGTAATAATTGACTTCTGCAAACCAATTGTGTTCTCAAAAGCTTAATATTCCTGTATTAATACATTGTTTATTTTCTAATCCCTTAAAATAATCAATTTTATTTATTTCGTATATAAAAAATAGGAACACGTTCTTCAGAAGTGTGGTCTGTGTAGAATCAAAGAATCAAGTTTAATATTCATACGAATATTATGTCATGTGATCTTTTCTTTTGAAAATTTGATTTATATATTCACATTATTAGGAGATACATACGGATCTAAGTTTGACTCCTTAAATTCGTAAAATTTGCATTTATTATATATAATGATGATCATTGGAAGGGTTTCAGTTATTCATTAGTTCTGCTATCCATTTCTGTAATAACTCCGTTTTCAAGCGAAAAATCATAATTATAATTTTGATTTTCTAATCTTTCAACGAAAGACATTATTTCGCTAATCCGTAGACTATCTATCTCCAAGTCATTGTTCATGTTGCTTTCCAACTGTCTGCATAACTTAAATGGTACACCACTTAGATAATGTGGAGCATCCACTTGCTGACTCAACTTTGGTAAGTTACCAGTTGACATTGCGGGATTCATTGGTGTATTGTCGTGCAGACTGGGGTATAAACCTTGATTACTGACATTAGGTGGCAGAGAAGTTCTTCTTTTTTCAATTATTATGAAATCATCTCCTGAATCTACAGCAGGCTGTTCTTCATGTTCATTCCTGGATTCAGGAGGTGAATCCTTATGTTTCTTCTTGCCAAAAAGCCAAGACATCTTCTGCAAAATATTTTGACCTAAGTATTCGTCAAATTTGTTTTTGTTGTAAATGGATAAATCATGCCAATTATACTACATGCTTGAAATTAGACATGTCAATTTATAAACAGCATATCTAAAAGCAAACTAAAAAGGAAATAAATAATACAAGCTTTTTAAAATCAGTATTTTTATCTACAATAGTAGAAAAAAATTGAAAGTCATCATTATTATGACTGGAGTGTAACGTGATATAAAACATCTAACCAATAATTAATAAAAATGGAAAACACACAGAAAGTATTTTGTTTATAACATACAATCACAGAACAGCAAGTATCTTTGAAGAAGTGTCTGCAAAAATCCATTTTTAACTTTTACAGACAGAAACTTTTCTCAGTTTCAAACCTCTAACCCTAATTCAGTAATATAAAGTAAGATACTGGCTTGTAGATCTTTGAGTCTTCAGAAAATTAAATAAGCTCAAGATGTGTACATCACAAAAAAAAATTACAGTCGTGATAAGATATATGAGCGAGGGGAAAACACAAATTTTACTCACGTGCAGGCGGAAACTAAAAAAAGGGGAATCTTATTGTACACAGTCAACGAATGGTTCCTGTTAAAAACTGACCATCTTGCTGTCGCTTTTGTTAGTCTCTTCTCCGCGAAGGACAAGTAAATCGGCGTTTAAAACGCAGATGAGCACAAGAGAAACTGCTGCACTTCAGCGTGAAGAGCACTGCGAGTACGTTGTAATCTCCAAGTGATGTTCCTTATCGAAATAACAAACTTGTCCGTCACCTCATCAACCAGATGTCAAATGAACCAGTCCGTTGTTTTAACAGCACTGTTTGCACTCGATAAAATATATGTATATTAAACGCGTGTATAGCATCTTTGAGGGAGAGAGAAACGAGTGTAGAAAGTGTAGCTATAGCTATGCTATAATAAGTACTACTGCGTAAGGGAAAAAAAGAGAGGGGGAAATGAAGCGATGACGTCTCGGGGGTTCCAACGGCGATCGAATTGAATGATCGCAATCGCGACGAGGCCAATTACGATGATGATTATCTTTCCCCCTTATCATACTCATTGGTTATATCGCGTTTGGATTTTATTGATCGTATCTATATATAAATACTTGGATAACGCGATGTATTCTATAAATACATTTCAGCTATACTTTCGAGAAAATTATATATTTGCACTAAATTGTCTTGTCTTTTCTATCGATTTTTACGGCAAGAGACATAATATTATCAGGACGTAATTTTATGTATATTACAGTTATACAATTATGTTATTATTACGTTTAGCCCTTATTTATATGTACGAATATCATCTCGACGAATGTCAGCGAATAAGTTTAGAAGCAACATATGCATAATTAAAATACTACAAAACGACCTATTGTTTATTATCGGTAAATTGTATTTGACAATAGGAAAAAAATTTTCAGAACTCTGATGTAAAAATAAGGAAGAGATTTTTCTTATTTCTGTTTACCTTAATTTAATATTAAAGAAACTTAAAAGGAATTAAAAATATAATTAAGGTTTACGATATTACCAGTATAATAACAAAATTATACGTAGAATTTATTATTAATATGAATAAATAACTGAATATTATATTTTATAATATTATATTTATTATATTTTCGATTAAAATTCCAAGGCCCATTCTCCTTTGCACGGTCCTGTTCGACAGATCCATTCGATCTTTGATATTCGATACTATCGCTTGTAGATTTTATCAATATTTAAACATATTGATATTAATTCCCTGCGATAAATTTATTAAATTTAATGCCATTGTTGATGTATATTTCATTCACTATATTCGTCGATTCGCAATAAAATTTGTTATTATATCTACATATGTAATCGTTGTTTATGCGAGCTATCGCTAGATGTCGACGTTATATCAAATCATCCGTGTTCATTCGTCTGTCCGACGCGACAAGACGATAAAAACATCGAAGAGAGATACCATTGAGGACATAAATTTTCACGATTAGATGGTAAGTCTCTATCGGGTTCGAGAAAATAAAGAAACTTTCATTTTCAATCGTTCCATTTTGTTTCGACGCATAATATCTGTGACTATACGTAACTCACGGCGCGCTACTAATTTTACATTTACGACTCTGGCGACTCTCGCAAAATGCATACGTGATGCGTTTCTCATTTCAGCTGCGTTCAACTATGCGTTTATTATTCACGCATATTTGCAATAAATTTTTTCATTCTAGTCGCGATCTGTCGAGGAGGGCGCGGCAAGGCTTCGCGAATGACGCGTCGAAAATAAAGGCTTGTTCTTTATCGCCGCATTGAATTATACTATATAAAATTGCGCTCCGACTTCCGTTCAGGCCTAAGATTCTCGAATCTATATCGCATATTAACATAGACGATTTTCGCATTCGATTATTTTTCGAGAATAAGACTTTAGAGCGCTCGTGAAGGCCATCGCTTGTCCCGCTTAACACCTGATAAATAGGGATAAAACGAGCGTTCTGGAACATAAATCGCAACGCAATTTAACTTTCTTTCTTTTACTACGCTTTAAATGTGTATCTATTTCATTTTAAGTACGAGCCGTGAGTACACTGGCTCAACCGCAGATCCTCAATAGTCTATATCTCGTGAACGCGGTCGTGAATGTTTTCGGTTTCACGGGAGCGCTCCCGAGCGCGGGCGGAAAGTACCGACCGATGCCGACGAGCCACGCGCGACGCGCGTATGTCGCCGCGGCTGATCGGAACTTGCTCGCGCGCAGCATTTTTTTCTCGCGAGCGGTGTGCGGGTCCGACACGGTCTGTTCTCCTCCTGTGCGCCCCTTCGCGCGAATCGAGAAAGAAGGATAACCGATGCCGCCGTTGTTGTCGCTATCCGCCGCCGCTCGCCGTTGTTTCTCGGCGTTTTCGGCGGACGGACGCATGCGTACACGTCGCTGCGCGCGTGTGTGTGCGCGCCCGCGCGTTCGTGTCGCGCGCGTCCAGTCGCGTAGTTCGGCAAAGCGCGTTGAGGTAGCGGCGTGATCGCATTGTTTTCGTGTCCTCGCCGTGCGTCCGTCGCAACGCACGCACGCACGCACGCACGCACGAACGCACGTATATATACGTATCGCGATTCCCGAGCACATCGCGCGGGTGAACGAGTAAGAGAACGGTGGAATCTCTTTCCCATCTTTCGTTCTCGCGTCCCTTGACCGGGATCGGTGGTCCACCGGCCGTCCAGGACGAGCGTCATCCCCGCGAAGGGCGACGACATCGAGGCATAGGTGTGGTGGGTAAGTACGATCTCGTCTCCCTTTTTATTTACGTATATGAAATGCGCATCGCGCGCTGTCGACAAACTGATATGCCGACACTCGGTGGGAGAGGAGGGGGGGGGGGGGCGCTCCTTTGCGAGATTTTGTTCTGCGATTTTTTTCAAATCTGTGCCGCTCGAGAATGATCGTTCGAATTCGCGAGGTATCTCGATGTAGCGGAGTAAACTCGTCGATGTACCGCGATGTTAGATCTTGACAGCCTCATCTCAGACGTGGACATTATTACGCGAAAAGGTAAACGGTGGATTCGAGGAATAACTCTTTTTTTTCGAATACTACATTACACATGTGAAGCCGGTACAATGAGATTTAAATTTCTCTGTTGTAAAAAAACTTCATCTCTAATTGTGCCCGCCGTGTTGAAGTTCTGTTCGACGGAATTATGCAAGGGTCGGGCATGAAATTGCGTTGTAATGAGAATCTTGTTCCATTGATATTTACCGTGACATGTTATTCTTTCGCTCGCTTCTCGAGATAATCTCTCGCAAGCGTCCGTGAAGCACCTGACCTGACCTTTTCTGAGTGATGTATAGATGTAAACAAAAGCATCACGCTATAGGATCCATAGGGTCAGTGATTATGATTATGATTATGAAGTGTTTAGATTTCGAGGTCTACAATAAAATTTACGCAAATAAGAGTGACATCCCTATTAAGTAATAATGTTAATATAATTCATTGAAACAAGAAAGATATGCGTATGCTAATTACATATTTTAGTATATTGTTATGAAAAGTATAGTGGTCTATTGTATAAAGTATAGCTTTTCTAACAAATTAAATTATAACATGAAATGTAATAAAATTGATTTATTTATATATAAAATACAAGACATATTATATTTCATATAATATCAAAATTTTCAAAGTTTTGTCGAAGATCGAAGTTTAAAAGAAACTTGACATAAAAAAATAAATATAAGTAATATAATGTAAGTATAAGATTTACATTTATGCCTACGAAAGCTTTTTATAAAACGGAATTTTCTGATCAAACTGTTTTCTTTTAATTTTTATCTCTTATCCTCTCTAAAAAATTAATTACCTTAAATCTTAATCTTTAAGGTATCCCTAAATCCCTAAATCTTTATCATTTAAAAATTCTGATTTGTAACGTTATTATTTGATAGCATCTATGACATCCAAACTATAAAATATCCAAAATTTCAAGCAAATAATTATAAGTAGCATGATAAGAACCAACTTAAAAGAAGAGAAAAAAAATGAGGAAAAAATAGATGAATTCATAACTTATTTTGCGTAGATAGTTCGCAAATAACGTTTTAATGGAATTTATAGCATTCAGAAAAGAAAAATAGAGTTTTGTTCGAAAGCATCTTGCACAGTCGTATTTTTACTAAAACGGAGAAAATGTGCATGAGAAGATTACAACACTGTTTACTATCTTAAAAAAAAAAATTAGATACGTAATTCAAAATGAAATACGTAATAGTTGATTTCGAAATTACTTGACAGACGACACGAATGACTACACGAATTTGATTACAGCTATTTACGAATCCTGGGAAAATGTTGATGTCGATAAATCAGATACTTGCAATATGCATACTTATATAAATGCATATTTATGCAGAACATAACTCGTTAAATGCTGCGCGTTTTACATATATCATATATTCTCATTTCTACAGGTGCTTCATGAGACAACATGATGCGGATAGTTTGCAAAATCGTTTTGCTAGCAGAATTCGTGCTGCTATCGCGCACGAATTCTGCTAGCAAAACCAATTCGAGCGAGGAGTTTTCAGAGCTGTTCGGCCTTGCGGAAATCATTAAGCAATTAATGATAAAAATAACAAATATATTTAAATCGATAACTAACATTTAATTTTTTTAGATGGATGAAAAAGAAATAATTTGATTAAAGACCGTTTTAGAGGAACTTTCAAATGAAAAAAAGTAATAATACGAATTTAATATTCGTATAAGTTTCTTCATAAAAATAGAAATCAAAAATTGAACCAAATGTATGTAACGTAAATATGTTTAATATGTAACGCAAATGTAAAAACGCAAAATAATATTCAAAGTAAAATTCAGAAATCGTCTAGGTTCCATGAAACTTTTAACTGGTTTTGGAAATTTATTGATATTTAGCCGCGTTCAATTAGAAAGGACGTCAAGGATTCGCGAGAGATCCAAGAGAATTAGAAGCAAGATTCGAGATTCGTGACTCTGCATTTGGAGAATTGCATGCCGCATCATCGTCAGTTATCTGCGCAGCGAGATAATTAATCTTCTATCTTCAATCCTCCTTTTTAATCCATGTCGCGACTCGCCGCGTGCGCGTCTCGTCGTGACGCGGCTTTAAAGGCGCGCGTTGCGCAAAGGGAGGGCGGCGCTTAAACGATAAAAAAACGAACATGCATAGTTTTTTGCGCGTTATCACGTAGAATCCGCGAGCGAGCATTAATGCCGGCGGCTATCAGCCGGAGCGGAGCGGTGCGCGCCGGCAAGTCCGGCAATAAACGTTGCGCCATGAACGGAACGACGAGCGGCGCGTGGACTTAACCTTTATATCTTTTTTTATTCGCGTGTCGCAGCCGTTATATTTTTAATATCCTTATAGGTCAGAATTTATAGGGAAGCTCGAGTTATAAATATATACCCGCTTTTATT